ATGGGAAACTGGTTGCTTTCCATATCTGCACTGGCAACTTTGGCTTGTGATTTTTATTGAATTTTTGGAGGAATCTATAACTTCACTAGTTTTGGATATTTTGTTGTTCTGTAGTGTTGAGGGACAAGTACCTATGGGCAAAGGTGGCAGCAGAAAGGAGGATAGAGGGAGATAAATATCCTCCCTCTGGGGGAGAATTTTGGAGGGAAAATAGGTGGTAGAAGATGGAGGAAAAATAGGTGCACAGGCTCCATTTTTATAACTTGAGTGCAGAAATTGAAAGGTTCCCAAAGGAAAATGAACAATGGCAGGTCTCAACCAGCAGGAGGATGTGTGTTCTTCTGTGTGTGCTCACACACGTATGCATTTATACAGCTGCACACATGTTTTTGTAAAAATATGTATCATGTATTTTTCCCAGTCTCGACTCTTTCCCCCTCATTCATCTTCTATGTGAAGTTATCTTTCTAAAGATATAAACTGCAATTGTCCCATGTAAAAGCCATGATAGCTTCCCATTGCCCTCAGGAAAAAATTCCAAACTCACTGATATGGCATCCAGGACTTTGAAAAATCTGACTTCCCTCAATTTTTGCAGCCTCACCCTCTTAATCTTCCATCCCTTGGCCAGAGCCCACTGGGTATCTGCGTTCTAGCCTCTCCGAGCAGAAGGCCCACCATTCTGTGTATACACTTTCATCTTAACATCTTAGCGCCTTCTTGATTTTGTATTTAAAATGCTGCCTCTCTTCTTTACCTTAAGATCCTGATGTTTACCTTGAACATAGCACTAACATCACTTCCTTTGGAAGATTCCTGCAACACTCTCCCACAATAGAATTAGTCATCTCTTCCTTTGTGTTTCCATAGAACTTTGTCTGTAGTGTTAGCAAAACACACAGCTCTTTCTTGTCCACTGGACTGTGTGAGATCTCCTTGTGTTATATGTCTGTGTACCCGCACCCACTGGCACAGAGCCAGCGTTCAGCTGTGTTTGTAGTGTTGAGGTGAATTGGTTGGGAACAATCTCCTTGGTGTGGTTGGATCCATTCTCGTCCCTGTATGGAGATTCATTACAGCATCTCCTTTGGCCTCCAGGCTGTGGGCTATGGAGACAGCCACATACCAAGTACCTTTCTATTCAGTCAGCCACAAGGTTCCATGGAGTGCTTACTGCCTGCCAGACTCAGTTGCAGGCATGGGGTGAACAAAACATAAATTCCTTGTTTTTTGGAGCCTATGTTTGAATGGGAAAATGAAGGCAATAAAAGTAACAAATAAAAAGTTACTATTTTAGGTGAGGGTAATCAAAAATAGAGGACAGAGAGTGACAGGTGGTGCTGTTTCAGATACGGAGGTCATCGCAGGCCTCTCTGAGGAGGTAACATTTGAAGAGAGACCAGATAATGTGTGAAAGACAGACACAGAGTTAGCTGAGGAAAGACACAGAAGCTGTCATGGCAAATTAGGATGAGTGGGTCTGGGTTGGAGCTACTGACGGACAGAGTGGAAGCTGATGAGGTCATAAATAGGAGATGGATGTGCCTGTTTCACTTGGGTTCTCTCTTGTTCTGCAGCCACTGCCTTCCTCATCAACAGCTTGCCCCTTCCTGTCCCACTCGACAAAGTGTTACCTTCACCGCTGGACAGCATTGTTTCCCTCTTGGATCCATTAAAGCGTCTTCTGAGAACTCTTGGCATTTCGGTCGAGCACCTTGTGGAAGGGCTGAGGAAGTGTGTGGACGAGCTGGGACCGGAGGCTTCTGAATCTGTGAAGAAACTGCTGGTAACTGCAGTTTGGAGCAGTGAATTTGCCAAGGGGGAGGAGCTGAGTCACACTGAATGCCCACCCCACCCCATTCTCACTGGTAAAGGTGTATTTCCCCTTCACTGATTATGCTCATCTAAAATTTGCACATCCTGGAATCTCAGGGAAAGTATAATTGCTTCATTTCCAGAAACAATTTTTAAATGACAGAGACGTGTGCTCTAGTTGTGACTTTACCACTGACCATCGTGGTGATTTTCGATAGGACTTAACCACCCTGAGTCTTTGTTTCCCCATTAATAAAATGGTGGCTAAATGGGAAAGTGAAAGTAAATATTTTTTTAAAACGTGCTAATTACATGTAAGCTGCTCTGATTTTTATTGTCCTTCTGCCTTTCAGGAGGCCCTGTCATATTTGGTGTGACGGCAAGACAAAGAGAGAACAAAGGCGGAAGCGGAAGGAGGATGATGCTCCCGTGTCCCCAGCTGAAACTACCCAATTATAGATTAAACGCCTTAAGATGTAGTGACCTCTGAAAAAGATGATTAAAGCAGTGAATAGATTTTTCAGTTTGTCCTATTTTTATTTCTGGGGTCTCCATTTAGAAGGGTCTAGCAAGATAATTTTTCCCTTGGATCATAAACTCCAGAGAGCCTGTTTTTATAAGGATAACCAGGCATTTTAAGTGGGATGTTGTCGCGGCCTGGATTGCAGAACGGGGGATGGACACAGAAAGAAACACACAGACACACACAAGACGTACAAGACTGAAGTAGTAAATTCTACCAGTCACTTTATTCTTATACTTTTCTCTATCCGGCAGCTGCTTCCTGGTACGTGGCTACCTTGGGCGCCCTGAGGAAAATACATTTTCATTCCTTCCTGATGATTGCTTAAGGGAAGCAGACGTTTGCATCTTAACTTCTTGCATCTTAACTTCTTCATCTCATTACCGTATGCAGGACAATGAGAGCCTTGGCTTGTGTGCAAGACCCCAGGCGCTTGGTTATCTGTCACAAAGCTATCTGTCATGA